AAAAAAAAAAAAAAAAAAGGGAAAGAACCCATTCCTCTTGTCTGTTACATTTCAGTGATAAAATTATCAAGAATCAATGAACAATTACATTGGGGAATCCAGGATGAAGTCATGTAGTATGTGATTATGAGATTATGAAAAGGGATTTTGGAGTCAGACAAGCCTATTATCAAATCCCAGTTTCACCATTTATTAGCTATACCACCTTTGGCTTAAAATTATTTAAGCTCTCTGAACCTCGGAATCTAACTTTATAAAATGGAATACAGTAGGATTAACCTCCTATGAGGGTACTTTCAAGGAATAAAGCAAATCAGGAATATATAATACTTACGGTGGCAGCAGGCACATAGTAGATGCTTCAGTAAGCAAATAAGTGGTTTATAGCTTTCTAGCCCAAGTATTTAATGGGAAGATGGTATTTTCTTTTTCTTTTTCTTTTTCTTTTTTTCTTTTTTTCTGATATGGAATTTTGTTCTTGTGGCCCAGGCTAGAGTGCAATGGTGTGATGTTGGCTCACCTCAACCTCTGCCTCCTGGGTTCAAGTGATTCTCCTGCCTCAGCCTCCTGAGTAGCTAGGATTACAGGCATGTGTCATCACTCCTGGCTAATTTTGTATTTTTTAGAGATGGGGCTTGTCCATGTTAGGCTGGTCTCAAACTCCCAACCACAATGTGATCTGCCCCCATTGGCCTCCCAAAGTGCTGGGATTACAAGCATGAGCCACTGCGCCCGGCTGGTATTTTCAATAAGGAAGAGGACATAGGAAGAGAAGCAAGTTAAGAAAGGAATTATTTAGTTTTGCCCAAGGTGAATTTGAAGTGCCTGTGGATATGCTTGGGTGGAGGTGGAATAACTGAGAGGAGAAACCAAGGATAAAATTGTGAGTGGGTATGTCATCAGCACAACACTGGAGATCCCCAAACAATGGGAAACATATGAGACACTCTAGAAAGAGCAAGTAGATGAAGAGGAACCAGGAACAGAACCAAGTGAGCACCTGTCCTGGACAGCCAGGCAGAGGGGCCAGACAGGATTGAGAAAAGGCAGTCAGGAGAGGCAGAAAGTATCAAGGGACTAAGGCTGTGATCAGCTGGGTACAGTCCTTTACAGGGTAGGCTGAACTCCCAGAAGAGGATGGATTTTATCATGGTGTGAAGGCAATACTCTTTTATCACCAGGAGTTACAGCGAGGGATCACTTGCAATTCATATTTGTAGAATACATTAGAGTTTATAGCCTGTCTTTATGTTCCTTCTCTCCCTTGCCCCCCACAGCAGCTCCATGAGGAAGATACTATTGTTTCCATCTTATAAATGAGGAAATTGAGGCTCAGAAAAAGAAATGTTTTTGCCAAAGTCACAAAGTTAGGGAGTAGCAGAGCCAGACTCAAAAAGAGGCTTCCTGACACCTGGCCCAGTGGTGTTTCCTCTGCATCCTGATGCCCAACAGGGAAGAAGTGGTGACAGTAAGTGACAACTGGCTTCATTATTTTGTTTTGTTTTTAGTTTTGCTTTGTTTAGAGTAAGAAAGATTTGAGCATGTTTGTAGGCTGAGAGGCACTTTTCTTTCTGAAAGCCTTCTTAGTCTTATTTTTAAAAAATTATTTTGAAATAACTTCAAACAGAAAAATTGCAAGATGAATACAAAGAACTTTCTTTTTTAAAAAATAAAGTTTTGTTTTGTTTTTGAGACAGGGGCTAGCTCTGTCTCCCAGGCTGGAATGCAGTGGCACAAACATGGCTCACTGCAGCCTCAAACTCCCAGCCTCGAGCAGTCCTCCTGCCTCGGCCTCCCAAGTAGATGGAACTAAATGGGTACACACTGCCAAGCTCCGCTAATTTTTTTTTTTTTTTGTAGGGATAAGGTTTGGCCATGTTGCCCAGACTGATCTCAAACTCCTGAGCTCAAATGATTCTCCTGCCTTAGCCTTCCAAAGTGCTGGGATTACAGGTGTGAGCCATGGTGCTGGGACAAAATTTCCTTCTTTCGTTAAACATTCCATGTGTTTCAGGTTAACATGGAATGCCCAGCATGGTTGGGGTGCCAGATTCTGCAGTTGCTAACATTTATCTGTATTTATGCCCATTTGTCAGCAAAAAAAGTGAAACTCTGTAAAATATTTGAAGAGATTTATTCAGAGCCAAATATGAGTGACCAATGGCTTGTGACATACCCCTCAAGAGATTCTGATAACAAGTGCCCAAAGTGGTCTGATTACAACTTGATTTTATACCTTTTAGGGAGACATAAGACATCAGTCAATACATATAAGATGTACATTGGTTTGGTCTGGAAAGGCAGGAAAACTTCAAAGTGGGGGCTTCCAGGTCTTGTGTGGATGCAAAGGTTTTCTGATTGACAATTGGTTGAAAGAGTGAAATATTGGTTGGGCGCGGTGGCTCATGCCTGTAATCCCAGCACTTTGGGAGGCTGAGGCAGGTGGATTGCCAGAGGTCAAGAATTCGAGACCAGCCTGGCCAATGTGGTGAAATCCCATGTCTGCTAAAAATTCAAAAATTAGCTGGGTGTGGTGGCACATGCCTGTAATCCCAGCTACTCAGGAGGGTAAGGCAGAGGTTGCAGTAAGCTGACATCCAGCCATTGGACTGAAACTCTGTCTTAAAAAAGAAAAAAAGTTAAATTATTGTCTAGAGACTTGGAATCAATAAAAAGGAATGTCTGGGTTGAGATAAGGGGTTTTGAAGAGCAAGGTTTTATCATGCAAGTGAAGCATCCAGGTAGCCAACTTCAGAGATAATAGATTGCAAATGTTTCTTATCAGACTTAAAGAGTCTTGTTTCCCAGCTGAATCAACTTGTGATGAGTGGATAATCAGGAAAAATGACGAATCTAAAGGACAAAAATCAAAGAACCGATGGGGTCTGTGACTGGATTTTCTATCATTCCAATTCTAAATCCTACTTGAATATTCCTGGACTTACAAAATGCCAAGAGGGTGACTGGAAGTTGTGGATATCAGGGTATAAATTATATCAGTGAGTTGGGGGAGGGAAGACCAGAATTCCCTTGAATTGTGTATTGATGCAATATAAGCATAAAAGATCGCCCTGTATTTTCTTTACCTTCTAAAAGCCATTATTATGATGTTAAAAGAAGAGGAAGAAATTCAGGTACAGAAAACATGTTTAGCCTAAATGACGGTGCTTGGTGAGTCTTGGTTCTAAAGGTACCAAACGAGGAAGCCAAAGTTTTCAAACTGCTGCATACTTTGACAAGGAAAATCTATATTTGTCTTCCGATCTACATTTATGACCTAAGTCAGGTAATGCACCTGGTTTACTTCTTTAGCATTTTTATGCAGACAGTCTGTTATGCACTGTGGTTTCAGATGTGCAATAATTTGTACAATGGTTTATTCCCAAGTATGCCTTAAGCGGAACAAATGTTTTTTTCTGTAGTTCCTTGCCTTAATAAATATGTAATATAAATTTAAGCAAACGTCTATACAGGTATTGATCAACTTACGACCTATGCAACTTACGACCATTTGACTTTATGACCACAATTGCTAGCCACGACTGCTCCGCATCTGGCAGCGCAAAGGTTGCCCAGCTGGGCATACGACAGTGCGGACCAGCTTCCG